CAATAAAACAGCACACGTTAAAACGCTCGACAGTTACTCCTCAGTAACGACCCCCAGGTGACGACACAAAGAGGCTTAGCTACAAACAAACGTCTGCATTTGTGAGATAGTTTATGGATACTGCACGGTGCTCTAAAAACCTGGAATAATTTATAGTGGAGTATTCAAAGAAACACTATTGTTGTTGTAAAGTTAAAGGTTATTCGCAAGGCTGTTCAGGATTGCCTCTAAAAGACATTCAAGTTCAATAAACAGATTTTCATACACAAATATGATGTGAAAATCATTCAAAATACATAGAAACGATAAATAAGTTAGTCAAACTAAGAGGAGTCAATAAAACCGAAACGCTACAGCTATTCGTCTATTCATAAAGGTCGCCACTAAATAGGGAGGTTAAAGCCCTTAATTTGGGCATTCATGAAGTACGAATAGGTACGTAGAAACCTCTCAAACGTGCGTCGTATGACGAGACGTGACCTATTGACTTTCAATCAATTCTCTTTCGTCCATTTATGAGAACATCGTGGCGTGCCTAATAAAGTATAATAGATAAGAAGCATATAGACGTCACTCGCGATTATTTCGGTCCGTACTTGTTGCGATTACTTTTTTTTACAAAGCCGTATATTTAGAGACCGAGATGAATGTATGATGTATGTTCTTATCGTAATTTATAACACATGTCAGTCATTACGAATGAGGAATAATAATGAACAAACTGAAAATGACTGACAGCGTGCGATAAAAATTTTAGTGTTCGTGTTAAAAATTTTTGTATATAATAGTTCCTCCTTCACATATGTTTTCCCGAAAAAGCGGAATAGGGATGTTTTATTGATGATCAATTATGTTACATCGTCACCGGTTACCGTCATTGATTAGCAGTTAGCACATGTGATCACATTATCTTCCAAACCTTGAAACTATATCCGCAATATTCATGTTTCGCCGTCCTTAATTAAGAGAATATCAGTTCCCAGGGATCTTTAGAAGCAAAAACAGCTCAGCTGATCACTGTTAGTTAAAATATCAATTATGCAAATACAGCATCCAAAATTACATTAAACCGCATCTCGTATATAGGTAAATAGGCGATGGCGTGCCTAGATAACAGTAATCTGGACAGCGATCTCAATTTATACTTCACAATACAATAAAGTGGTAGTTAGCGGGGCGATATCGACGCGAGAGCATGGCCGGGCGTGACGCGGCGAGGTTAAATCGGGCCAGGCGGCCCACGCAAAACCGCTAATTAGGAAGCGCACGCGCAAGGGCGCTGCACTGCCGCGCGCACGATGCGCAGGCGACTCCACACAACCGCTGAAACAAAGACAACCACCAGCTAACAAAAGAAACAAGCATTTGAACAAAAGAAACTGCTCATGTAACAAAAGAAATGGCCAGAGAACAAAAACAATGGCATGGCGGTGGAAACGCGAGGAGTATGCCACCTTGTTTTCAGGCACAAAGGGTGTTGTGTGAAATTACGTTTTGTTACGAATTCTGACGTGTCCGACATTGACGAGCGCCAAGCGTGTTTGCATTCTAATATACATACAAGAATTTATAGAAGAAACTTCCTTGCGAGGTGCTATAAATCTAACGGTTCAGGCGTCACAAAACTTGCAAGTCGAATTATTAAGGATAAGGAAAATGCGTCAGTTCTAAACCGAGGAAGTTCAGACTAGAATATATGTTCAATAAAAACTGTTACAATAGGGAACATCCGCGCCGAGCAAGAAATACTTTAGTTGGAATCGCCGTCTCCCCGGTGCCAATTTTCCTTTTTTCCATTCTTTGTTTTCGGGCTGTTGAGTTTGTACGAAACGACGGTGGAATTCATTACTTGAAGCTGTCATTCCAGCTGTCATGTTCATTGTGATGCGAACATTTTAATGTATCTCTGTCGACACTTAATATGTTTCAAGTGCGTGTGTAGATGAGGTCATTACAGGTAGCTTAATGTAAGGCTTCTGAGAAGACCACATGCCAGGGGTTGACTCAGCAACTGGCACTGGGTACATTTAGCCTTGTGTAAATACCATACAGACTGACGATTACCGTCGCTATTATGCTTGTGCACGCTTCATTTGTATCTTAGTCATTCGCTCGGTAGATCTAGATATGATTATCTAGACACATTCGGATTACATACTTAGGTACTTAGTAAACTAAATTCTCATAAGTGCATAAGTGGGTATACTATAGCCTTTATTGTAAGCCAATAGGACTTACAGTACCCAAATCAAACAATACACTTCAACAACAAAGGAAATGTACAAAAGTGCAGTGATATATTTTCCTAATCCTACAACAAGAGCAATGAAATGTTCCGTGTATGTCATCTGGAAGGATGATGCATCCAAATCACTGAACAAAGCACAAAGATGCGCTGCACATAACTCAACGGAAGCACTTAGTTCTATTTCGGTAATGTGAAAGCCCCCAAATATCGCGGTACGAATACAAACATTTCATCAAGTACTCGTTAAGAACTACATACGTTCAATCCCACTCAACTATTTCGACACTAGATTCTAAAGTTCTAAATAAGGATTATCAAATGGTTTGTTCGGGCCAAACTAAGTTCTCATTTTCTAAACGCCACTCAAGGAACATGTAGGTAATCAACGTCGGTGTTATATTTTATCGGCTGATAACACAAATAGTGTGTTAAGCCAATAGATGCGATAACATCACCCAAATCTTTACCAGTTGATAGGAGAAACAGTAATTACATATTCGGGGAAAAAGGAAATAAATATTTTATTTGTTTACTCATTACGATTAGTTAACGAGGTGTTTTGACCACACTTCCTTATGATTTTGTTGACAAATATGTATATCAGTAACTAAAACGTATTTTACTCTAAATGTCAATTTATATTTTTAAAACCAAGCATCGGGTCCTTGTATTGTTGATACACAAAGCGACGACCGACGCTCCCTCGTTTTCCCACAACTTCGTAAAGTGGCATCGAGATTTACTCGCGCAAATATACATTTTTAAGTAGGCGACATGACGTCAATGGCTTCCCATTTACCCAAATAAATATATTATACATTCCGTATACATAGAACGCCTATTGTCAAATCACCAAACTGTTGCTATTTCTTAAAACTGCGTTATACCTGCTAATGCTCAATAATTTTTTACGTCAAATTCCATCAACGATTTTCACAGAACTTTTTTTTGTTAGCGAACTCTTATTTAATAAGGCGGATAAGCAAGGAATATTATTCCGGACAGAAGGGCCAAAACGAAGATACGATAATTCTTAATTTAAAAATTATGGACAACTGATATTGATTACGAAACACTTTCAATTAATTTCGAGGGCGACTAAGCTTTGGATCAACACATTTTTTTCTTTGCGTCCTTTCAAAGCCGCTTTTTATACATTTAAGTACATGGATTTTCATGCGAGCAGGCAGGGGCATTAAATTAAAGTTTTGTATTCTACAAAAGGCAAGTTTCTTGTATTACAAGTTGTACCAAGTGTTTTCCTTTTACTATTGGCTTGAAACGAGGCAGCGAGGCAGCCAGGCAACGCGGCCGGCGGACGAGAGCCATTCGAATTTCAATAAAACTTGAAGGGGAATAAATCGGTATAGGGTAGCGGCTACGAGATATTGTGTTCCCGCCAGCTGACGCCGCGCACACAGCCCGAAAAATAATAAACGCCATTATTCTACTAATTGCACTTTCCGAACACATTTGTCAGTGTTGATTCAATACACATCTGCCATTCGGATATTGACTATTAAAATCAATTAAAAGATCTATTAATATGATTGCCGTCATTATTCAATAATATACATACAAACGCCACTGTACACGATGACGTTGGCGTAGAGTTTATTTTCCCGTTTCTGGTTTATTCTGAAATTGGTGAAAATAATGACGTTTAAATATTCATGATCGAGAAGCTGTCACGGGCGGTAGCCAACTAGAAATTCGTTTTAGGCCTACGACTACCTAATTTTCATGTTTGAGTTATCTGTGGTAATTTGGACGTGTTACTCGGTGACGGTGTTAGGAACCGACCAAATGAGGTTGATATCAATAAATGTATTTTTAAACTTTGTGTGCAACGCTGCAAAAGAAGCCATATTTAATGGAATACAATACAACTAAGCCGTAAAGATTCCAGTGAGCCATAAAAAATCACAATAGAGTACGCGATATAAAATTTGAAACATAAAACCGACAGTTACTCGGTAGGATATTTATACGGCAGTTGAGAAAGATAAATTGTGGCTGTATAGGTCTATGACGAAATTGGTAGTAACGTGAGACCCGCTGAAAATTGACGCTAACACTTGGAAGATCAACCTCTCCTGTCATTCGATTTGACAGCGTGAAATTGAAGTACTCCGAGCTGATAAAAAATGTATTATAATTAGTCGCACATCACCGAAATTAGTTTCGTAACTCGTTGCAAAAATGATGCCAGTGATTGTATCTTTAGATTTTATAATGTAAGTACAAATTTTAGTCGAAAACAACAACAATAGAAGCAAAATTGGGAAATGAATAATGAGAACTAAACCCGTAACATTTTTCACGCCTTCTTGGCACAGTATCATCTACAAAGGAACACGAATGGCAAATCAAGTCACATACGTGACAAATTACAGTTAGTCGGTAGACACAGGCACACGAAAACTCACAATAAATAATGCAAAATTTTAAACTTTCAATTCACTGCTATAAATCTTGGGTGCAGATAGAAATCGAACAAAGATAAAGTATCAACCCGCTGAATCGCTGACAATTCAACGAGTGAAACTCAATAACGCTACAGATAAATATAAAACACTGGGTCGTTTGTTGGGCGCTTTAGCAGTTCCGGAGATTCTAAGTGGAAATGCAATCTTAGAGGACCCTCGCATGGGGTCAATGCGCCTACGTTCACCGTTAAGAGCCGTCATACGATCGTTTACGGTAACAATTATTTAGTAATGCTAGACTATCTATACGGTAAAAAGGATACATTTCCTGGAAGAAGTCGAGGCTAGGCGGCTGTAGGATGTCTAACGCCGATAAGACCTGTAAAGATAAAACCACACATTAGTTGAGCGTTGAGTGTGCGCGACAAACGTTAGGCTTTCATCAAACCCTATGCTAGCATGTTATTAGCGGTCACACAATCAACACTATGCAACGGTAACTCGTTTCAATGCAAATACGTGTTTATACGTAGAGACAAACGACAACCGCAAACAATACACGTTGATCGATAAAACACAGTGAAAATGAATAAATTATGAAGAGAGCGCACAACACATTATAATTATTTCGTGATAATGTTCAATACAACCCTATTATCATAATAACGAGTCTCGGGTAAATAAGTATATTGGATCAGAATGGAATCGAGTTCCGTTGATAAATTCAAAGTGTTGCTGTATAGCCGAAGGGGTGGGCCAATTATAAAACTCAGGTTTGAATGTAAGAGCTTCAATTAACATTAATAAAGTAAAGCCCAGAGTGCGGAAGGTCCCTCTAATTAGAAATGTAAAAACAAACGCGTCTCTAAGGTGTTCCAATTTAGTCGTTGTTAATAAGACTTCGTGGGAACAACTATTTGAACTGAACGTTATTTTTTAAACCAACGCGCTTGTTCAAGTAAGGAAAGATGACGTAAATTGGCATGTCAAAAAATGGAGCAATCCGACAATTGTTTATTAAGGCCGGAAAGTCGTTCGTGGAAAAATATTAAAATAACAATTTTGGCGTGTTGTATGTAATTTTGTCCAATGTACTTAGTATTGGAGGTTGGTGTTTTATGTATAGATCGAGTTATATGGTTGCGGGTACTTGTGTTGTTGGCTCCAGTCTCCAAGTAATCTAATATCTGAATCTAGGCAACCCCACACATGCATGTCTTGGCTATACATTCTTAGCTAGCAACTTTCTATACATCTATACATAGCAGCGGGACTATGGTACGGTGAAACTATTGGCCCCAACTATGCCTACAGTTTAAATATTTGAAGACAAAACTCCAAGTGTTCGTGAAATTGATAAAATACTTGAACGCTAAGTAAATTTCAATGTTTACATTACTATTGAGGTTTATTGCTTTTAAAACATTTTATATTTTGTGCGTGATCAATTATAAATGACAATATTTTACTGGCTGTTCATTTATTAAAATACTGACAAAGAAAAGGTTTTAGTTGTTTTAAAATATGACGCGAATAAAGAGAGTAATACGCAGTAAAGAAACTTGCGTTGATCTGGAAATGCGTCATAAAACTGTAGTATCTTACTGGTTTAGTATTACCAAGAGCATCAATAATGACAATAATATTGCTAACTGACGTCATATTAATTGAAACACAAATGTCTTAGCAAAACAATAGTAAACAATTTGAAACGGACAAAATATGTGATGCGTAATACGTAAAGCAATGTTTGGTACAGATATACAAATAACGTTTAATGAGAAGTAAACAAGGATGGTGTAAATAAATGAAGATGAGAGAATATCTCATTGGCTGCAAGTGGAACTGCAGAAGAAGGGTTTGACACTCACTTCTGAAGTCGATCCAAGCATTATTAAATATTTCTATTTTAGAAACTCAAAGAAGATCAGAGAAGATGATGTACTGACAAGGATTGAAAAGGAATTTTACGCTGGTTTGGACATGTACGTAGAAAGGATGGATAAAAAGAAGTAGAGTAACGAAAGAAGTATACAGCGAATATGAATCCCCGCCGTCGGTAGAGGGCGCCCTAGACGGATATACAGTGACCAGATTGGCGATATTAAAGAAGGGCCAAATTAACAGTACCCTTAACCGACGAGAATACATGAAAAGATTGATGACTGTTGATGAAGCGAAAGAGGTAAGTAGGAATCGTAGTAATTGGCGTTCCATAGTCTCTGCCTACCCCCATAGGAGCCAGGCGTGAAGTTATGTATCTATGTATGTAAAATCAAAGAATTGCCACGAAGTTTGTGTGCCTAAATTTTACCCTCTTAGTTTAATCGACTTATATCGAAGTACTCAAACGCTACTCAATTTTATGTCGCGATTGATTTCTGCCACTACAAATTCTTTGTAAAATAACAGAGATGGCACGATATTTAAGTACAGTTTAAAATTGAGTAGACTTTCAAGTATTCGGGCGTTAGTTAGTAAACAATTTACATGTGTGTATACCTCGTTGTACTTACGTTTTCGTGTTTGAAGAAGCAGAGCATCTTGAGCTCTCGGAAGACGCGTTTTGAGGAGACGAGCGACTGGAATACATTGGGCAGTTTCTTTAGTGCCACGCGCCGGCCATCACGAGGGTCCGTCACCGCCCTGTTAACAAAGAAATAGAATTTTAATACAAATTGAAAACAGACATGTAGTTTCTAACGATTTAGAGTTGTGACTGTTTCAAGTTAAAGAAGATGTAAAAAAGAAGTATAATATTATATAACCGCCCATTGTGTATCTTTTTATAATATTAATGCATATTTATACAATTTTTTAAAGTAATAAAGGTGTAAATTAATCACGAATAGGTAGCAGCTTATTCATTTTTTAAGCACCTACTACGTTTTGAAAATAATCAAAGAAGTTGGTCCTTCGCGTCGCCGCATAAGTAAATCATTCATTTATCAGCTCCAAGTTAATTATGTATTTTCTGTATCATTTTCATAAATAAATCATTCAAAAATGCACTCTATATCGATGAAATTAAGGACAAGGACGTCAAAATATCAGGGTCAGCGATAATGAATGGTTGTCAGATAAGTCTCCTCATTACTGAATTTTGAGTTAACATTTTATTTCAATGAGTTAAATGTAAAGTTACTATTATTGTAAACTGAAATATACACCAAAATTGTAATATTTACGTACGTATGCTAATTTAAATAAATAATATCATAGTAAACGTTTTATTTTAACGTCATTTGTTTAACCATTACGTTTACGTTCGGAATGCTGGTAAAAGGCAGAAAGAAAATACAGTCCAACACAATTATTATTAAAACAGCATCAATACTCCCATTCTTATCACTTTTACAGTAGCAAACAGAGAGCTAAAGCGCTTCATTGGAATCGTTAAAGCGCTTGCAGCGCGTTGTTCCATCAATACTGTTAATTAATATACAATATACAAAGACACGTTCACAAACATTAACATTCTGAAATTGCATTATCTTCCTATTATAGACAGTCCGGTTTTCAACAATACTCGATTATCATAACAATACGGGTTAACAACAGTATGAGTTTACCCAGTGGTTCGTGACACGTATTGACATAAGCATCGGAATCCAAAGTTCAGAATTAGCATAACAAAATGCTTGTCCCAAGAAGGTACAACAACTGCAACTAAAGATGTTATAATAAAAAAAAAATATGAAAAGAATACCGCGCTGCGTTTGGTGGTGTTAAATAATTTATGCAGTCTGTATTTGAAATGAATACTATTTACCAGTTCGTTTTTTGAAATGGGACTATTAGACTACTTTTTTTAGTTTGTCAGTACTATCTTCATAGATCTGACCGACACACGGTTCAGAATAAGTTCAAGATCGAAATGTTTGCTTTCGATAAAGCCTCCTTATTCCTCAACCATACAAAAAGCTTTGGACCGAATACGTATAAAGTATAATTATGCCAAAACTTGTTTGGACAAAAACGGCGCTTTCAAAACGCAGTGTTTTGTGGAGGCTGAGAAACGTACCCTCGCATTACCGGGTCCCGTTAGGTCTGCCCTTGCGATTATTATCGTTTGGAACGCCAGGCCCGATAATATCCGTCGCGAGGGAAATAGGGATGCCGACCGGCTCCGAGAGCAACGACCGAACCCTGGCAACCAGCTCGCCCGGGTAATATTTGGACAACATTTCAAATTGCGGATGTCATTGATGTATTGCCTGATCTAACACCAAATAGAACAATAAATAACAAAATATTTCGGACAAGTCAGCTGGACAGGATCATAAATTCTACTATTTACTGGTAACGCAGTACATATTTATTATTCGTTTAATCGAATTTTAGAACCGCACAAGAATAGCAAAGTTTATTCAAAGAATAAAAAAAATACGAGGAATCGATTAGAAGGACCGCCCGTTTAATTTGATGGCTTTTGTCCGCGTAAACGTTTCATTTAAAGCGCACCTATTGTCGATTCTTTTTGTTCTCTTTGAAAAGAACAAGTGTGTGTGTGACAAAGACAAAATACTGTACAGAGAATATTATGCATTAAAACGAGAATTATTATTTTTACCACTGTTTGTTGACATCAACATGCGGCGGTCTTTTAAAAAACATCCTTTAAAACAAAACAGATAGCCAACTCAGAATAAAAAATATAAACCTTAATTAACTTCATAAATGTCTGCAAATTGATGCTCAATTTTAATGGCATAAATAAATTTTCGACTGTTTTCGTTTTATGACATGGCGTTTAATAAATGATATTCTTTGATGTAGGGTCATAGTCACGACTTCATGAGGTACAAATTACAATACAATATTTATTTATGTCACACGACATTCAATTCGGCAAGCTGAACGAGCATTGTAAACAAAGGCAGGAAGTATCCTCATTGAAACAGTGGCCATAAGTAACTTAGTCACTTTTTATTCATTCTATAACAGTTCTGCAAGTTCAACAACATTTATATAGGAACTTTGACACGCGAAATCAGTGGAGCAAATCTTCGGAATGAAAATGCGAGATGGAATTGACGTACATACATACAAGCTCCAAAAGATATGCTAGAATCTGAACAATACATTGTGCATAGGACTAACACTAAACAAAATCCTACAATCAGGCTTTTTAAAGATAGAAACTATTCGAGATGAAGCCATAGAAACAATATTTCCTTTTTTAAAGTCGAGTCCCTACCAGTATCGATTACTGATCAAAAAACCAATAAACCACCTTTAAAGCTATTGGTAATAAAAACATTAGATATGATACGTTCAAATCGTAATTTTACGGTCCACACGACGACAAATTTCACAAAGAGCTATTAAAAATATGAAATATGACCGGTGCAGGTCCTCGGTGCGTCGTTGCTTTTTACGGTTTTTAGTGATAATTTCGAACAGTAATTGTTTATTCTTGACAAGTATTCGCTGGGGTTCAGCTCGTATTGCTCCGACAATAAAACAAATAATTCAGGCTTGTTTAGCATGTGAATTTCAAGTATTTGGAAAAACCGAGGGAAACGGAATGGTGAAATTTTAGGAACAAGTGTTTGTGCAACGGCAAAGCAGCGGTATAGCTATTCGGTAAACTAAGTGCTTAACGTGCGCAATTAATTCTGGTGAACTTGCAAGATACGTTTTGCTTTTAAAGTTTATGGAAGTTCACATATTTTTACTGTATATTTTCACGGTAACTACATTGTGGCAGTAATTCTTATTCTATTTGGTTAAAGTATAAGTTATTCTTCTTCATTCGAAACCACGCTTTGGAATGAGTACCTAGCTTCGCCAACAATTCAATTTGAGGTTCCAAAAGTGCCTAATCAAGGATTAAATGTAATAAACGCTTTGACTTTAATTATAAAGACTTCATATTCCTTACACATTCCATATGCACGGTTATATTTCATTTGGTTGGTTAGGTGATTGATAAATTTGACACCAGTGAACTCAATGACCTTGATTACATTGATGCTTGAATGAACTAATCCGCGATTTACCACCCAATGATCATTAATCCCACAACATAAGACAGTCAATATATTGTAGTAAATAGAAATGCTTGATGTTTCACGAACTTTATGAGTAAAGTTAATTAATGAAAAGTACCCTTAACGAGCATACATGAAAAGACTGATGACTGTTGGGGAAGCGAAAGAGGTATGTAAGAATCGTAGCAATTGGCATTCCAAAGTCTCAACCTACCCCCATGGCAGACAGACGTGAGGTTATGTATGTATGTTAATAAAGCGCTACCGATAAATAAAATGTGATATCTTTGGCTATTCATAGGGACACACCACAACACCTAGAGGTAGTTTTACAGACAGGCCACATAGAATTTAGTTCGTTTCAACAAATAAAACTTAAAGTATTCACCAGTCATAGCCCTAATGCTTCTCTCACAGGTACTAGTTCACAACAGTAACTGCTTTAGCACAGCCAACTTTGACAGTAATTGACTAAGTTAGTATTTAAAAAGTTCGCGGCACTACTCGCTCTGCCAGTATAAAAACAGATCTATAAAACGTTATTAATTGCTATACAGATACAGTATGGACGGTGATAAAGTAGATTCTAATTATGTTTGTGACTTTTACAAGTTTTTACGGTAAATAAATCGTGATACATTTAATGTGTATTGTGTTTCATTAGGAATACTTGATGTGTAAGTTGGTGTACAATTAAAGATTTTAATGATATTTAGCTATGCACTGAGTGATAAAGAAACGAACTTAAATAGACAAGAGACGACAACATCTTGAGACCTATTCTATTTCTTTTAAAGGAGGTGGCATGAAACATTCTATAAAACTCCTCAGTTCCAAGTGCTAATCTTCAGGTAACTGGACCAATGAAATCCAACCTTTATGTAACAATCGCGGTGATAATCTAACAACGTGAAACCATTTCTAGTGACATTTGTAACATATCGTAGTAACTGACTGCGAATAGAGCCGAAGTTGAACAATTACGCTGCGGTCGGTCGGTCATTCCGAAATCGCATTACTCACTATCCCTCAAATATAAGGGTAGGAATTTCCCTCCCGGTGACGTGGTAATGCTTGGATAGATCTTTTCTATAGTTAGGTGGCCTAGTTTGTTATGGTGCAGATGTAGTTGGATAGTAGAAAGTAGTCGTTCATTTTGGCAATTTTTATATTTTATAACAAAATACATCTCATACACTATCTGAATAATTGGATATTTGGATATTGTCGATGCTCGGGCTCGGGCTTGGTCGATGTATGAAGTTACTGAGTGACGCGCTAAGCATCACAGTGCAGTGTATGAACTAAGAGAGCAAGAGATAAAATTAATTTACTTACTAAGAACAAAACAAACAACTTTACAAACTTTGTAGCATCGCCTAACAAAAACGTTAAGCCAGTTAGATAACAGAGTAAAAATTAAAAAACAAGCAAGACAGCTTCTTTCATCCCTTGCAAATTGGACGTATGTACTAAGTGATGTAGTTACGTGTAGTCGCTAGCAAGACTAGTCGCCGAGCCCATATCCACGTTCATAGCATTGCCATGTTGAAGGATAGGACCGAAGGACCAGATTGACCAAAATGAATATTTTATTATGCTTTGTAGTGTTGGTTTGAATGTTTAATATTTTCAGAACTCCAGTTATAG